CCGACACTTTCAACATTCCATAAATCATAATTATTTTGAGGGGAAATATTTCTTTTCGCGCGTTTCTTCCGTTTCCGCCGTCCGCAAGATTCAGGTTAAATCAGATGAAAATCGGACGGCGAAAAGAGGAGAAAAGAGAATTGGAAAAAGTGATTACATCTGTTTAATCTCGATTTATGTTTCCCTTTATTATTTATCTGGAATCCCAAATCTTAATTATAACTTGTCCAAACACAAACCTCGGCGCCTTGTGTCCATCCGATGTTACTGTAGATGAAGTTGGCAAATGTTCCATTAGCAGTGATGAAAATGGCAGCTTGGAATGTGTTGGTGTTCTGAATTGGAATTATTTTCAGGCTAAGAATTTCTATAAACTCACCTCTTCTGGAAGAGCCGCCGTATTCAAAGGCTGCATTTTGTCCCAAGTGATAATCAAAGCCGATTTCACCTTCACATTCTTATCGTACTGATAACGAATTTCCGATTGTCCACGCTCCAAAACTCTTCCCTCTGAAACAAAAATGCATAATTCTAGAGTTCCAGCGGATCTCAAAACTCACTTGTCACCTCTCGATAGTACACTTTTCCTCCGTTCCTCAAATCATTACGATTCCAGAATGGCGCCAAGAACCGTGTAGATCCAGGAAGGATTCCGGATTTGTAGGATCTAGAGCTAGCTTCAAAACCTACGGCTCCGTTGGAGAGAACCTAAAAATTTTAAAGATAATCCTAAAAAAAGAAAACTTTGAATTCTTACATAGATAGTTTTGTAATCGGATCCGAAGAATTGAAGTGGATGCACCAAGTCGAGTTTCTTGCCAACGTCCAATGCTTGAGGAAGTTCTTCATCACCAGCAGATGCTCCATAGTCAAAAAGACGACTGGAGAATAGGGGAGCGGTTACCTGGAAATGTCTGTGTGTCTGTTTGTCCGTTATTTAGAAATTTGAAGCGTAGAGGATTTCAGTACTTGAGTTATTAGATTTGATAGTTTTATTCAATGACCAGGACGGCCGTTTTGACAGTTCTAGGCATATCTAGAAATTGAATTCTACAGGGTCCGCCAAAATTACGTGTGCACAACTTTGACGCCATGGCGCTGCGCACTGACGCACTTTTGGTGCGCAATTTTTTAAAATTTTTATTAATTATTTCATTATTTATTAGTTTGCCAAGTTTCATCCCAATCGGTTATGTTTTAGGTAAATGACAGCGGCAAGTCCTCATCGTACTCTGATCGTCGACTTTTACAAGCGAGGTTTAAGCACAGGAGACATTTCTAAACGACTCGGAGTGCACCGAAACACGGTTTTCGCGACCATCCGTCGTTTCAACCAGCTTGGCCACCTCAAGGACCGTACGGGAAGAGGAAGACCGAGGACTGTAAGAACTCCAGCGAAAGTCAAGGCCGTCCGGGAGAAAGTCAGGCGAAATGCTCATCGTTCCATGAAAAAGATGTCAGATGACATGGATATCTCCTATACATCAATGAGGAGAATTGTCAGAAAAGAGCTGAAGATGACCTCTTATCGAGCAACAAAAGCTGCTATTCTATCCCAAGCCAATAAGTAGAAACGGCTCATCAAAGCGAAGCGCCTTCTCGCTGGCACGCGCAAAAAGGATCATCTTATCACCATCTTCTCGGACGAGAAACTCTTCAGTGTCGAGGCTGAATTTAATAGCCAAAACCACCGAGTGCTGGCCACAAATATTCAACAAGCAGCTGAGCGTGGTAAAACAATCCATCGAGCCTCTCATCCTGCGAGCATCATGGTTTTCGGAGCGGTTTGCTATGATGGGAAGTGTCCGCTTGTTTTCGTTGATAAAGGCGTGAAAATCAACCAAAAATACTACGTTGAGGAGATTCTGGAGAAGCATGTGCTACCGTGGGCTCAAAACCACTTCGGTCAGAAGAAATACATCTTCCAGCAAGATGGAGCGCCTGCTCATACCGCAAAAATGGCTCAACAGTGGTGCAAGGACCACTTCCCCGCCTTCATACCAAAGGACGAATGGCCGGCTTCGTCGCCTGATCTGAACCCGCTCGACTACTCCGTATGGGGAGTTCTGCAGAATAAGGTCTGCGCAAGACCTCATGCAAATATCGAGGCCCTGAAGAAGTCGTTGTCTGAGGAATTTGACAAATTATCCGTCGAATACCTGCGTGCCACCATTGATGCCTTCCCTCGACGACTTCGTGCCGTGGTCGCTGCCAAAGGAGGTAGAATCGAATAATTTTTGTTGAATTATGATTTCAAGCGTTGAAATAAACTGTCTGTTAAATTTCGTCTTAATCTCGCATCTACTTCTGGAGATAACGTCATCTACACTTGCACACGTAATTTTGGCGGACCCTGTAGAAAATAAACTTGAACGTTTCTTTAGGAAAACGAAAAAGTCAGAAAGATTATTAAAGTCAGGACCTTTTTAGGTAAAAAATTTGTAAGAAATGCCTGGAAATTCAAGTAACTAAATCTCTTTTTTTCATAAAATTTTTAGTTTTGAAAAAATCATGGTGAACATCTCCACAAACGGAAGAAGAAAAGCAGAGTTTAAAACGATCCTAAAACGGGTCGCTGGCGGGCCCTGCCATAGTTCTTTAAACTCAACATTTTTGTACCAATTAAATTAAGTCTGATAGAACGCAACAAGTACTACAAAATGATGATATTTGGGATACTGTATATTTATGATTTTTCGAATAAATAGAATTTCCTCATTAAACTCGTCTTCCAAGAAAGAAAAAAAAACAAATTCTAGGCGAGCCCAAGGCGAAGGTGGAAAATTTTAGACAAAAACTGGGCGAAGTTTCGCCAGCTTTTGAGCGGCGTTTGGGCACCTTCTGGGAAAATCTTAAGCGAAATCTGGCCAAACAGAGCCCAAAAGATGGTCAATCTTTGCCCAAAAGACGACAGCCGCAGCCGAGTAGCTTGTTTATGAAGAATTGTTTTTTTGGTGTTTGATAACTTTGCTCCTAGACAAGATAAAGTTTTTCAAATAATGAGTTAGCAAACTGTGACCGTTCTAAACAAAATTTTGTAAAAAATTTCCTTTCTCAAATTGAACTTTTCGGTTTGAAAAAAAAAATGATAAAAAAGATAACCAAATGTGAAAACGGGCCTAAAACGAGTCACTGACGGGCCTTGCCATATCAACTAAATTAGGTTTGAAAGAGCTTAACGAGTACTAAAAAATTATGTTAATTAGGATACTTTAGCTTGTATATGAACAAGTTACGGGGGAAAAACCATCCTAGCTCGATTTTTTTGACTTTCGATAAATTTGTCATAGACCAGATATAATATTTCAATTTATATCATTTTATACTGCTTGTTGAGCTTTATCATATTCAATTAAGAAAATTTAAAAACAATTGATCCTTAAAAAATATGGCATTGCTCGCAGGAGCTTTCTTTCAAGTCTGTAGATGTCCTTGTTCCTTTTTGATCTATCTGTTTTCAGCTTTTTCCTCCCATTAAATCATTGACACCCATTCAACAGATCCCAACGTGTAATACATCACATCCATCCCTAATCCATGTCCTCTCTTCCGATTGCCGTATCGAAAAACGGCAGGTGTCATGAAAGAAAGAATAGGAAAAGACCGGTAATTGTCATTAGAATCGGTTGCCCATCTGTGCAAACAGACACCACGGCACTGTCCGGCTCTTGGTCAACAGGAAATCGGGGAAGGATATATGTTCAAAAAGACAAAAAAAAAATACAAAAAAAAGATGACCTTGTCTGTCTCCGTTAAACAAACCAATTCGATTCCCAAAAAAAAAACTCACTTGAATACTAATTTCTTTCGGTTGAATCTGCCGACCTCGTCTTGATTTAACGGATTGAAACGCGTCGAGTTGATCCCATTTCTCATCGATTCGAAGACGAGCCGCTATCCGTTCGGGATCGAATTTCATGCATTCTACTGATAGAATTAGTAGAATTAGGGGTGGCAGTGCCCCCAGCAGGGCATGCCTGTGCATCGGATATTCTAAAAAATTGGAAACTTTTTAAAAATAAAAAAGAAAAAAAGACGGGTGGGCTATAGAAGAAGGGAGACTGTCTGTCTCGAAATGAGAAAAAGCTTGGCCAAGATCTGGAGATTATACAAAATGGAAATAAAAAAGAGAAACGGAGATGAAAAAATGTGATTATTGTTGTAAAACCAAATGACTATGCAGCTAGGGATACTAAAAACGCCCGAAGAAAGTAGTAGATAAACAAACGGTTTTTTTTGAGGAAGAGAAAAAAAAAGTGAAAAAAAGAGAAAGCATAAGCAATGGACACCCTCTCCAGTCGGGGTTGGAAGTTTTCGGTTTCCGGAGAGATGGTGGCTGGAACCGGATTCTGATTCTAGAAGACGTGAGGGAAGGGAAGAATGTGATTTGAAGAGAAAGGAGTCGTGGTGAAAAGGGAGAGCTGGAAGTGAATGGGGTCATGGATTCCAAAGAATGGCTCCGAATTGAAAACAAATTGTTCAGAAAAAAAATTTAAAATGCTCGGTTTGAGCTTTGATAACGGGACAATATCTGGAAAGAAGAAACAGAAACAGATAACTTTGTAAATTTGGAAAATCAGGATTCCCAGAAAATTCAGTTTAAAAAATTAGATTTCCAGAAAATTCTAAATTTTTAAAAATTCGGAAAATCAAAAATACGGAAATTCAGAAAAGCGAAAAAATTTTCGAAAATTGTGAATTTCCAAAGAATTTTTCGCAACTTCCATATTTTTCGGAAATTGTGGATTCTCTGGAAATCGAATTTTTCATTTTTAATACAAAAAATTAGAAGTTCAAAAAATCAGAAATTCGAAAATTCCAGGAAATTCTGAAAAATTCGAAAAAATTGAAAATTCCAGAAAGTTCAGATTAAAAAAAAACAGATTGCCAGAAAATCTAAAATTTTCGAGAAGTTCAGAAATTCAAAATAACACAAATTTCAAAAAAATTAGAAACTCGGAAACTCAACAATTTTAGGAGATTCTGAAAAATTCCAGAATTCCAAAAATTCTCAAAAAAAAACCAATTCTGAAATCCGAAAGATGAATGATAATTCAAAAAATATATAAAAGAGCTAAAAAGAAATTCTCTCAACTATTCCAAATTCTCATGAGCTATGGAATGAAAAAGAATAAAACTAATAAATCACATCCCCCCATACAACACCGGGATACCTATTCAAATGAGAGGGATTAACTCAATGTGCACCGTTATTCAAACCATGGCATTTCTATACCGGATGGTAACAGTTGGAGAGCGGTGAAACGAGAAGAAATAGAAGGTAGAAGGGGCCTTAAGGAAGAAACAAAGAGCAGACACCGAGGGAATGTGTTTTAGGTGATGAAGGTCATTTGAGGTTGGTCCGTACGGGGGAACATAAAGGCTATTCCCTTCCTCGGATACAATAATTATCGGTTTGATGGAGGCAGTATTTTTCATAGTTGCAAACGGGCCGGCCCGGGCAGATGGCGGGCCATCAGATAGCTTGTCTCCAAAACGAGATATTCAGACAGTTTTGGTACCAAATGATAGATCTCGACAGGGCCCATCACGTCTATATCATTTTCGCCAGATTCCGGTCCATTAACATGCCGCGGGCCGGGCTAGAATGACGAAAAACCCGATATTGGCCAAATTTTTTCCGAGCCGGCCCGTTTGCAACTATGGTATGTTTTTCTGGTCTGGGGATTTTTGGTAAAATTTTACACTAGGACTAGGTTAGACTAAAAATATTTGAAAAATACATGAACTACTGAATTTACAGTGTGGCGCATCATTACCCGGCATAAAATTTGAGTAAGGCGTTGTACTGTGTTCAAATTTGGAGTGAAAAAATTCAAATAATTGATCAGTAAACAGGCCAAGTATCAAATAATTTGATTAACTTTGAGCTGAGTTATCGCTTGTCAAAGCTGCTTCATCTCATAAAAATCGCAACAAGAAACATTATGCCATTCATCTTTGAGCAATCATAACAATACCTAGACTGGAGGAATCGCTTTGAAAATTTCAGTAGCTTTAAATCAAACGTAACATTATATTTCTTTCAATTTTCGTGCTTCCAAGATACTTATGTCTAAAGATATAACCGTTTTTATTAGCTCGGGTAATTGTGCCACCCTAGTATAATGAAAAAATAGAAAAAAACTGTCAACTTATCAACTAAAAATTAGAAACATCCTTTTTACGGTAACCAATTTTCCTTCAAACAACTCGAAATAAGTTGAGAATTCGATATTTTCAAATATGCTAATTTTCAGACCTAAAAGTTCGAAATTTTGAAATCTGTTAGCGAGGCACTCGGAGTTTTATATATCACCACGGATGTTCGGAATGGCTTTTCCGAAATTTTTCGGAATGTCGAAAATTCAGAGTTTCAGAATTTTGAAATTTTGGAAATTCGTAATATTCTTATTTAAAAAAAATCGTAATTTCGTAATTCCCAACATCCCTGGATATCCTCCAGTAAAAAAAGTTTGAATACAAAAAATTCGAATTTTATATGAGGCTTATTTTATAGGAGACGAAAACTCAAGAAATATCTTGAACGCAGGGATTTTAGCCAGAGAATCAGTGGCAAAAAGTGCACATTCTCGAAGACTTTAGCTTAGAATGAGATTAGAATTCAAAAAATGTTTCCCTATTCCAAATCTCAAATCTAAAAGTTCTCACTAGAAGAAATGATGGTCCCTGCTTGCAAACGGAGCAAGCACGATAACAATCGATTTCATGAGCATACATATTTGTTGAAACAGAGAGAAACGGAATGAGGTATGATCCGTTGAGAGGGGGTCCCCTTCGCCCGGTACCCACTGTTTGCACTCAAATTGGTTCCGACGGTGTACAAGAAGGGACGACGACCTTCTTGAAAACTAAAGGAGTTGCCATCTTTTGTTTCAAAGAAGGTGCTAAACGAAGAGAGTGCCAGACACGAGTCTAGTATGTACTAGTTCGGAGCGGAAAAGGACACCGTAAGAATGGGTGAAGAATACTTTGGAAACAGAAATAAGTAAAAGAATGGGGGGAGAGAAAGCTGACAATCTGACAAAAAAACGAACATGCTAAAAGGCGGATAATGAAGAAACGAGGAGGAAGAATAACAAGATTATATGTCGCCAGAATGTCTTCTAAATGCTTTCTTTATACACATAACAACCACAACATAACATCACAAAACACCTCATTGTATACAAGATTACCATTTGTAGCTTATATGGAAAAAGGACCTGATTATGACGAAGCATGGGAAACTACTCAGAATTGAGTGGACGACGGGTTATATGAATGGATGGACACATACTATTGCATGGGAATTGGCATGGTCAGAAATTTGACCACTTGAAACGATAAAGGTGTAGAAATTGAGGGTTTTGTGCATAGAAAATTTGGAATTTCAAAAATGAAATTTAATTGAAATGTTTCTGGAGATGTGAAAAGTTTGTTTTTCCACATTTCCTCAAACCTATCTTACAGTATTTCCTCTAAAAGGAACAACTTTTGATGCTTGAAAATTTGAAGGAAAGATAATGTTTTAGCCATTTCCTTAGATTTTAGAGTTTCCAAAACTCGTACGTTTTTGAAATTTTCGGGGATTTTTCCATTTCAGAGTTTGGTGGTTTGGAAATTTTCGCCCTTCCAAATTTCTGATTTCTAGATTTTCAGTGTTTTGAATTTCCCATTTTTGAATTTTCAGAGTTTTCATAATTTGGAATTTCTCCAAAGATTTAGGATTTTTAAGTTTTGAAATTTCAGAATTTAAAGGTTTCTAAAATTCCAGATTTTCGTAAGTTTCATAAATTCTTAGAATTGTGGAGTTTTCATTCTCGAATTTTTGAATTTTCATATTTATGCAAACATGCTGATACCAAAATCGGAACTGTTATAAAAAATTTGAAAACTCCAAGATATTCAGAAATTCCATAAAGTTCAATAATCATGAATATTCTTCTGTTAGTTGGATTTGCCTAAATGAGATAGAAAAGGTTTAAGCTCATCTGAGAAATTAGTAGTATCTTGATTTAGGAAAACATAATTACTCTTTAACTTTGATCTAATTTATCTCAGTTCCTGTGAAAGATATCAAAAAGAGATCAACTGACGAAATTTTTTTCATAAAATCACAACTATTTTGTTAGTTGGGCACATTTTGATATCTTTTACAGAAACCGAGATAAATTAGTTAGGGGGGGAGGGGGGGGGGGGGACGTTCTCTTAGAGTGTTTACGGTAGCCCACAAATTTGATCCAAAAGAATTCATCGAGCGTCCATAATCAAGAAAGTACCAGAACACATGCTCTCAAAACACAATGTTATCTTAGCTATTTAATCCAATTATTTTGGGCATCACCTCTCCCCAAAAGTGAACGGATCGAGGGATAACCCGAAGTGAAAGTGACAGACAATTAATCACCTCGGGGGTGGTGACGGCATATCTTCGCTAATCAAGTGTGATAAAATGTGATAAGATGATAAGCGAAACAACAGAAAAAACTATTGGAAAAAAGAGCAATTGATGGCAATCGAGGTGAGACGCGAAAACATACACTGGCAGGGGGTGGAAAGGGTAATGGAAAGTGAAAAATAACATGAAAATGGAGGGCAATTAGAGGGGGAATGAGAGACAACATAGGTTAAAACCATTTACCATTTACCACGATTTACTTCGAAACAAGACAAAAAACGAACGGCTTTTTGGGAAAATATGGAAAGACCTGTCAAAGTACGGTATATGGATTGAAAAGTATGTATAGGGGAAAGTGAGGATAATGAATAAATAAAACGGCGCCGGTATGGAGAAAATAACACTTGAGACTGCTGGTGGGCTCAGATTTCAAGAAGATACATGGAAAAGTTTGATGAGAACAGTGGGTGGGAAGGAACGTGGCAAAACGGGAATAAAAAGAAAACGACGAGGATATGGAGAAAGGGCGGTATGTTATGATGACCAACTAAGAAGAATAAGAAGAATGGAGATGAAAAAAGTAGATATGCATAAATAAAAGAGAGAGATTTGAGCTGTTGCTGGACGACAGTCGGAAAGAAAAGAGATGGATATTCATCTGACGCACCACCTCCTCCGAAATTTCAACACCATTGGAATGTAAGAAAAACGGAGAAGACGGAGAAGGGACTGGAACGGGTTTGGAAATATTTAGGAATTCGACGGTATTAATAAGAAGCTTAAGATTTCGGTAGAAATACTAGAACTGACTGTTCATAGTCATGAAATTTGAGAAACGGATTGCAGTGAACGTAAAATGATTCAGCCCAATATGTCCAAAATTTAGACTCAAAAAAGAAAACAACAAAATTTTTTAGATTTCCGAAAATTCGAGAATTTTCAGAATGAAATTTAAACTGAAATTATTTAGAGAATTTGCAAATTATTTTTTTTAATTGAAAAAATAAGTTTGAATCGGTAATTTTCAGACATTAACATTTTACTGATACCGTAAGATCTGTAAGAGAAGGGCACCACACACTGTCAAGTTTGAGCTCAATTATCTCAATTCCTATAAGAGATATCAAAAATGTGTCAACTGATAAAACACTTCTGATATTATGAT